TTACCAAATCACAGTTGCCATTTAGAATCAACAATACATGCAAAGAAAATGTGACAGAAAGTTTGACTAATGACAACCTGCATATGTGTTGTTGATTCTTCACGGCAATTGCGGTTTGGTAAAATAAAACTATTACTAATTCTAAAATGTTCGACCTGGAATATTTTATAAACGGCTGAACCGAATATCAACAACCTATATATTTTTTAAATCAGAAAAGAGAGACCTTCAATATTTTCGAAAAATATATAGGGTGTTCCATTGAAAATATCAAAATTGGTACCCATTTCTTATATCAGCGATATTCATTTATTTCACCTCGTACAATTTCCTGCAGATTCAAAACAAATCCTACAACTTTTTTATTTGAATTTTTCTTCTACCTTCAATGTTGAACCCATTTTAAATATAAGGAATGACCCTGTACACAATTTTCCTGCTCAATTTTACCCCCATTCAGGTAAATATTGAATCCCTTGAGTGAAATATTCAAAATGAAGTCATTACTAAATAATATCTACTACCGTCCACTTTCTTCACCAATTGTTTCCTCACAAGGTATTGTAGAACTTTTGATTTTGACTCATGACTTTTGATTAGGCTGAAGATTAATTTTTCCAAGTTCTGAACTTATTTCTAAATAATAATAATGATGCATAATGATGATAATAATGATGATTATTCATTTATGATTCACCAGAAATTGAATGTAGTTAATACTTCCTCTGAAATCTACTATGAACTGTTGATCTCTGTTGACACATAGGACGAGTTTTTTTTTCAAGTGCATATACAAGGTGTCCCAGATAAACTTACCATACATTCTACAGGTAAAACTGGGGACTAAAATAGGTCGATTGAAATTGAAAAAACCTACATTTACAAGGAAATGCACCGTTGAGTCGTGAAAAGGCGTTGAAAAATAATTTTATTTCTAGATTTTCTTCAATGTTTCGAAATTATTGAATGGTACTGTTCTGGAATCCGTAAGGCAATTTACTATCGTGAATGTGTATGAAAAACACTTGCACTCCTCAGAGCACTGTACATTTCTTTAAATTATTATTGAAATTCACGAAATTTCATAACATGAAGAACGCGGGTACACGCGTAACGTAATCTACCTTGAATAATCCGAAGCAACCATACAAGATTCAATTAACATATCTATCCTTTATTTATGTTAGCCAAATGCAATACAATTTGTGATTTATTTGAAGATATGAAATGCATGTTCTGGCCTGAATACTTCTCGGAAAACTAACTACAGATTACAGAACACAACACATAACTGATGAATCAGATGATCTGAGGATTATCTCTGTATATTTGTTAGACTTGACTCCAGACTTGACTAGATGATATAATTTGAAAATTAAGGTGACAGACGAGGTTGGCGTTTGAAAGGAAGTTAGGTTAGAGTTATTCTTTTACTGATATTTCTGTAAACTCTAAACATTACGCTGTGGCCAGGGTGACAAATTAGTTTGGGTTTTATTGAAATCTCGATCATCGTAAGGAATTCTAGGATATTCTTATTGGCCTGAAAAATATTGAAAGATATTTGAGTATTCAATAAGTTATTATCAGAAAGCAAGTGGAACCATCTTCTTCTGTGAATGTGAATACTGTTTCCATTAGTCATATTGAATCTCACGAAATCTCAATGGGTTGGTACCTAATTACTTGTTATAAATTTGTCAGGGTCGAAATATGTGGTTATGCTGAGGAATTAAGAAGAATATATATCACTATACTATTGATGCGATCTCTTCAATGAATGCAGATGAAACTTGTTTTGAATATGTCACTGACCCCAACTTTTTTCTGGCTGTAATTCTTTCCTAATTTCTCTTGGTTTTCGAGATATCTCACAAAATATATTCTGGTGGTTTGCCATACATAATTATAATGCCAGAGAAGCGAGCAGAGAGTATTATATCATGTTTTGCAAGTTTATACCTCGATTGTGTTGAATTATTTTTCATAAAGATCATGTTCACCATTTCGCAAACTCATGGTCATTTCCAAATTCAATTTCTTTTGTTTTCGAAAAATACTTTATTCGAGAAAAACAATGTTAAAGACGACCAGCATCCTTCATATACATGATCATTGTGGTCAATAACTCAGCATAAATGAATTAGAAATTTGCGGAACATGATAATCCTGACATCATAAACAGGTATGGTGAAGCAGCAACATCAAATATTTTAGATAGGTGTCTCTAAAATCAAGAAAAATTATAAAAAACTGCTGTTAGAAATGAGTTAGATAATTGATTTTTTGATTCATTGAAATATCAAAATATGGCCAGCTCGATGGCCAGTGGCGTATTCCAAACAAGTTACATCAATTTTGATCAAAGAAAATGAGAAATACCCCCGGAAATACCTATCGGAATATTGATTAACTTGGTATGACATGTTTTTAATGTACATTCACAAAATTAAATTGCCCTACGGATTTAAGGCAGTATTTTTTTGAATTTCGAAATATTCAAGAAAATCTGGCAATACAATTATTCTGCATCGCCCTCTCACGGCTCAACGGTGCATTTTCGTATAGAGGCAAGTTTATTTCAATCGGCCTATTTTGGTCTCTAGTTTACTCTGTGGAATTCAGGTACTTTTTTCTGGGACACCTTCTATACAATTTGTTGCGGAAATACAAATCTTTCTTTAATTTGTTAACGATTCAAATTATTCGCGCGCAATGTATAGCACCAAGAGATCATACATAGCTGTCAGGTTGTCACATGACCCACGCAAGCTCAACAGATGGCTCAGCGCAATTTCGTCAAGGGTCTTGCCCAACGAACGTGACAAAAACCCGCCAATATCACAATTTGATCCTTTTTCTTGCATACCATAAAACTATACAAACATTTTTACCTTCGGTCCCAACATTCAGTCTTCCGCAGTTAATCGTTATATATTTGAGTGACCACTCTGTAGGTTTCTGACTGCTATACGCATTACCTCTTCGATATATTTGCAACTAATTACCTTCCGCCAAAAGTTTTTTCAATCAGCTCAACATTTTACTATATTGCTATTTTTTCGCTCCACATCACAATGTTTCCTTTCTATGCTCTCATATTATTACAATGATCAATTTGCCTTAGATGGCTTCTGCTTCTGAATTGATCAATTGCCACTCATAGAAAGTATATTGCCTAAGATCTAGAATTTTATTTTCGGAAAACTGAAAGAGCGTGAAACGGACCAAATTAGTGCTAATTTCCTGTTACGACTCGAGGTAATTTCGAATTATTACTCGAAATTAGTGCTAATTTCGTGTTACAACTCAAAATTTGCTCAATTTCAAGTGTTAGAAACTCGCAATTAAGAAAAAAAATATCACATGTCCGCTTTATGCTTTCTTAGAAAACAGCGAGTCTGATTGATGTTCTACATGTATCGAAGCCTATCTTCAAGATTTTTTTTATTTACATCCAGAAAATTCAGGTTAGTGTTCGCTGCACCTGCCTAACCAAAGATTCAATATGATAATCTCCATTCAATAAGTGCACTATGAAGAATCTTCATTTGGTGGGTATCCAACTCGATATTCAATATATTTTTGATAAACATGAATTTATCAATTATATTTCACGAAGTACTTACAGTTTTCTTTATATGTACAATGTGTCCAGTTTTCGATGTTTTTGCGTGATATCTCAGTTATCTTTTGAGATTGAACCTTGCGGTTTTCGCGGTCCTGTGCAATTTTTTTGTGAAACTCAAGATGGCATTCTTTCAAGCTTGGTACGCACGAAAGGGAAACCCTATAATGTTCGAAGAACATTGTGCATTCCTAGGGACGATAGGGAAAAGATGTAGGTGATGGATTTTTTCTTGAAATTTTGGAGAATATAATATGTTCTTGGAAATACTTCCTCAGGCAATGAATTCCAGAGCTTTGCGTTCTATAGAGAAACGAGTTTTGATAAAGTGCTGTTCTAAAGTGCTGTTCGATATAGTTCGAGGTTGACAACGAAAGGATGTGCTGACTGCGCTTGTCGAGTTTGCCTGACTGGTATTGATAGTCGTGGAATGATAGCAGAAATTTTGGAAGAATATTTTCGGTGGAAGTATGTATAGGAAACCTTTCTACGGTGTTTCAGTGATGTCCAAGTGTTAGTGAGTGTGGCATCACCCACCAGGCGGATGGCTCTTCTCTGGATGGAATCTAAGAGCATCAGAGTATGTTTGGGTGCTGAACCCCATATGTGGAAACAGTATCCTAGAACATGCCGTATCTGTGCTTTGTAAATCATGATTAGCTGTTGAGGTGTGGAGTAGCTTTTCGCACGGAATAAAAATCCGAGTTTCTGTGAGCCAATAACTATTTCTTTTTCTGGATAGAGCAAAACGACGAATATTCCATTACAAATTCATTCTAAAGTCAGAAAAATTGTATAGTGAGAAAGAGCTCTTTCCCCTCATGTGATTATGATTTTAACAAATGAAAACACTTTTAATGTCGATTTCCATTTTGCATCATGATCGCAAATTCTTTCTTTGGATGCCCATTGAAAAAGTTTGGTTCTGAACTGCGCATGAATATACAAAAAAGAAAAATACATATAACATATCTCGTTCAAATGTTATAATGGTTATGTCTGAATAGAAGGATCGCCTTCCTTCATTTGACTTGGAGTTTGAGGGTATGCATCGCCAACACATTATTTTATTATTTTAGGTCGAATATATCTGAAGACAAGGTCATAAAAAGGAAGATGTTTAGCTTATCGCTCAATGCTGGGTGAACTTCTGGTTTGTTTTGGCATCACCGGTCATGGATCGAGCTCGTGACACGTGGCACGAAGATCATAAACTCATTGGGATCTCATGAGGCTAATTCAGGATCATATTTGCTCACGTTGGTTTCTCGAGTTCATTGATAGGCACGTGTAGTTTTGACACCATCATATGAAAACTGCGTCTCATATTATTGATTGTCAATATTTCAACAGTATACAATCCATGTTACAGATATGGAAATGAAGATAAACTGGCATGGCTTTTTGGTGTTATGCAAACTCTTGTGAGTTTTGTACAGTCCAATGATGATTGCATCCAGAGTATCCATGCTGGCGATACACATTTTGTGTTTCTCATTAGAAAGCCTTTAATATTGGTGGCTGTCTCAAAAACTCAGGAAAGTTATCATCAACTGACTGCCCAACTCAAGTAAGTCTATAGCCTATAGTCTATACTCAGTTCATTTTTTCTAATTATTTAAGTCTCAAGAAATGGTGCTAGTCTGGTTGAGGGTGTCATTAGTCATCTGCATGATATGAAGGGTTTGTAGCAAAAACCGCATTTGTCACAAAAAACAAAAATTAAGAGGGGAGCGTTTAAAATTGATTTTCTTGGAACAGGTTCAATTCAAGGAAAAATTGTTTGTGGTCAAGTTATAATCAGAAGTGTGTAATGAATCCTGTTTTGTTAATTGTATGAAAAAAGATACATTTCGAGAAAAACAGTCATTTTGTATCTAGTGCGCAAAATGCTAATTTGATGATCGGGAACTGATATTCGAGATGACCAAAGTATTCCGCGCACCAATTGCAAACAACATTTTTTCTGCAAATGTCAAAAAATATAGTTCTAAAGTTGTAATATGCTAAGCTTAATATAAAAAGTAGTGTTGAGTTGGCTTTAAAGGCCTCTCCCTATCCTTCCTAGGTACGCACGATGTTCCACACGAACATTATAGGAATTTCCTTTCTTGCGCTCCAAGAGATGAAAAAAAAAATTATTGTTAAACATTCAGAAATAAATGATTTCGTAGATGTTTGCTCGATTGAGGAACATAAAGTTTAAATACAAAAATCTCATACAGTTTACATAGGTACAATGCGCGAAATGTGTACTTCGCGCATCGTTTTAATTCGTGCACTGCTTCGCACATGGTGGCGTGGTAACGTAAGAAACTGAAAAAAGAGTGTCACTTCGCAAATTGTTTTCAATGCGCGAACCATGTTATTTCTTGACGTTTGTAGAAAATAGTTATTTATTATACAAAGGAAAAAAGTAGTAGATTTGAGCTGAAATCTGATATTTTTCACGTGTACAATAAACAATTTTTTTCTGGGACAGAAGAAAGGACGAATCAATATTGAGAAGATATTACATTATTTTGAAATCTGAAAATTATCGACGTGAAATTTTAAGTTTTTAACAGTAGGGACACCTGCGTTGTAGGCATCTTTATCATTCTCTTGTAGTAGTAGTAATCAAATATCTGATGACACCAAATGTAGAGTTTGTCAAGGCCAACTATAATGTGAAAAAGTATTTTGATAAAATCTATTCGTTTTTGTTTTATATGCAAAAAACAGATTTTGATCATTTTCATCTCTCCTCCGTAACTTCTTTATTCATGAAAATATTCAAATAGGAATTTCACATTCTCATCGCAGTTTTTCAAAGTGATTTCGAAAAAAATATGAAATTTATACTAACTCTTCTAGAATTTGAGATATCAGCACCAACTTTAGTTTTTCAAATGTAGGTCATAGCTCACTATGACTTAGTTACAAATAACTTTTTGTTCTCTTTCAGATGATATGTCGCAGTAATAGTTTTGTGTTGTTAACAACGGAGTTATCGTCATTTATACAAAAACAAAAAATTATTTGGAAGCCACCATCTTGAATTTATAAATTTTAACAAAGAAATCATGATCTCCGACCTCAACAACCCCCACTTACCAATTTTGAATGGAAGCGGACCAAATCTTGTCCGCCATCAAATAAAAAAAATGGCTGCTCCAAGATGGCGGACAAGATTTGGTCCGATTCCATTCAAAATTGGTAAGTGGGGATTTTTGAGGTCGGAGATCATGATTTTTTTGTTAAAAATTATAAATTCAAGATGGCGGCTTCCAAATAATTTTTTGTTTTTGTATAAATGACGATAACTCCGTTGTTATCAACACAAAACTATTACTGCGACATATCATCTGAAAGAGAAAAAAAAGTTATTTGTAACTAAGTCATAGTGAGCTATGAGCTACATTTGAAAAACTAAAGTTGGTGCTGATATCTCAAATTTTAGAAGAGTTGGTATAAATTTCATATTTCTTTTAGAAATCACTTCGAAAAACTGCCATGAGAATGTGAAATTCCTATTTGAATATTTTCATAAATAAAGAAGTTACGGAGGAGACATGAAAATGATCAAAATCTGTTTTTTGTGTATAAAACAAAAACGAATAGATGTTATTAAAATATTTTTTCACATTATAGTTGGCCTTGACAAACTCCACATTTGGTGTCATTTAACCGACCTCCTATCTCTCACCTTCAAAAGGATACCCATGGTGAGCATGGTAAGTGAGACACACTGTATATGTGATATATATCCGGGAAAAAAGTACTCACTTCTTTCCCACGGGAAAAAAGTAATTTATGAAAAGTGACATTTTATAACCTGCCAACAGAAATGAAATGTCAAACTTTTTTCCCGTCACAGAAAAAAATATTTGGTTTTTGAAGAAAAATTAAGATATATCTGCATGGCAACTTTCATATTACTATTTTTTGAGAACACAAAACGAAAATTATTACTCATAAAACGCAATTAGAAGAAAGAAATGTATACTTGCATTTAGGACAGAAACAGAAACAGCACATAGCTATGACAACTGTCGTTTTTGCGGAAATTCCTATATTTCAAATCTACAAATCACATGAACATCGTGATTTTCGCTAGAAGTAGTTTGTAGAGGCAATAATATGATATTTTTCAATACAATGTTGCCATTAACTAAAAAAATGACAAATATCGTTTTTGATAGAAACCCTTCATATAATTCAAGATTCTTATTTACAGTTCTCTACACATGAAACGAGCCACTCCTAATTTGCCCCTGTTTTGACATCCTTTATTTTCTACGGTTTTCGGCATCGAATGTTATGTTCCATCAATTCCAAACATAGATACAATAATATGAGAGAATCAGCACATTGAAACATACTTAGGGTGAAAAGTAGAACCAATACACCATGGTCAATATTTGCGATCGCACGACGTTTGCACAGGTTGATGTTGAATAGCTCATCGAAGGCAAAATAGGTCGAGAAATAAGACTCAAATAAATAACGCTGCGTCTCCGACGAACTATATACAGGAACTACGGTGGAATATATATACAGTCTCTGCCTACCATTTGTAAGAAAGACATTGGCTAGAGACTGAGTGATTCCGAGCGAAACGCCGGTGTAAAGGAACATATCGATTTAGTTTATTCAGAATTACAAACATAAAAGGATATAACATACACTTCCTAATTAGTCGTTATTTAATTCATATCAACCTTCGATTACTCGAATATGGAGGGACATCTTCGCACTAAATGTAATACTCAGATCATATTCAAAGTTTAGAATGGAAAACAACTTTCACATAAATCTTGACAGTAGCAACATTTATTCACAAGGGTAATGCAGCCATCAGAATGATTTAACTAACATTCACTACAGTACCCTAACGAACACTTGACAGACTGATATAACTAACGAATTCACTACAGTGCAGTAACGGGCACTGGACAGAATGACATATCTAACATTCACTACAGTGCCCTAACGAACACTGAACAGAATGATATAAGTAACATTCACCACAGTGCCCTAATGAACACTGGACAGAATAATATAACTAACATTCACTACAGTGCCCTAACGAACACTGGACAGAATTACATTACCTATACATTCACTATAGTGCCCTAACAAATACTGAACAGAATGATATAACAATAATGAAAGTAATGCAAAGTAGACTGAACATAAGAATTTATGAATATAACATTATAATTTCCATAACCTTGCCCAATCACATGCATAGGTATCTTCGAATACCTATCAGCAACAATTATATGATAATTTCATATAGGGGAAAGGTACTCACGGTTTCAATTCACTGCACTGAGTCTTATCAATGAATATAAATAGCCAAAATAATAACTGAGAACAAAGCCACTACCCTATTAACAATATCAAAATGACAAAAAACGACATATAATCTTTGGTAGAAGTCCAACATCTCTCAAAGTGGAGTGTAGTTGTAATAACTAAATAAAAACTCAAAATCATCTCCACTACAGTTTACTATGTGAACGATGTCACATCAGGGAACATGTTTTCAGACATACATATTATGTCCATCATCAACCTATAAGGAATTAGTCCTACAAGCTACAAGAGACTAAAATGAGTATAAAGTGAAATTCTTACCATACAATCGCTTACATGAAGGCGAAAAAATTATCTGCAAATACATTGAAATTGCAGAAACTTGTTACACATTACATTATCGGACCATTATTGAAGAGTAATATTTTTAGATTTGAAGCAAATTTATAAAACATATATTAGCATTAGGGGCATCGGGATAATAATGAAAAAAATTATGAAAAAATTAATATTGACTGTCATATTGACTACTTTAGTAGAGGACGGAAATCCCATGACTTAAAAGACACTGTCAGGTTGGTTGGTCAATGTTGCACAGACAACTGACTAGAGACCGACAATGACAGTCAGGGATACCAACCCACGACCACAGTTACAGAATGCACAGCCAATAAAGGATGAAGAATGGTACTATATGAAAATGTTCAAGTTATGGAATTATGAAATATGAAATATATTATGTTGAGGACCAAGGCGGATGAGAAAGTTTACTTTCATCTATTTACGGAAATTCAATGCATTGAACAATTTTATACTATCAAATTGAGTCTGTTCATTAAGGGAAAATACATCGTTATTTTGAAAGGAAGCATTTATTTCAAAAATCTCTGATGAGTACAACAATCTCCCTTTTTGACAGATATGGAATACTTCCAAATCAGTATCTATTTTGAGAGAATAGTCAGAATTTAGAAAACGGTTAGCGAAGGAACTTCTTGTATTGTAAAAGTCTAAAGTGGGTTTCTAGATATTTCAATAAGTTCAACAAGCTCTGTTACCCTAGTTTGAATCGGTCTCCCACTTTGACCTATGTATTGAGCTTTACAATTATTATCAACTGAACATGAAATTTTGTAAACACCAGATTTATGTAAGAGCGGTACTTCATCTTCATTATTTACTAAGGATCGTGCAATTGTATCTATGTATGTCATCTCTGAAACTGTACAAAATAATCTTAATATTATATGAGACTTTGCCTAAAAACGGAATTGAAGTGAATCGTGTACGAGGGTTATTCAAGGGTAGCAAATTTTGGTTTGTTTGTTTGTTTTTGTAAGTGTCTATTGAAAATTATCTCAATTAAAAATTGGTGGATTGCCATTATTAAAACCTATTTGTTTAATTATATTGTGTTCATTATCAAAATCTGTAGAATTCATAGGAATAGGGAACAATCTATGGAAAAGAGAATCAAAAGCTGCTAATTTGTGTGGAATAGGATTGCAAGACTTAAATGGAATGACTGAGTCAGTGTGTGTTGGATTACGGTATATTAAAAAATTGAAATGATCATTGTCTATGTTGATAACCAAGTCTAGGAATGGAAGAGACTTATTCACTGCAAATTCCATGGTAAACTGAACTGTGTTCAAAAAATTTAGAAGGAGGTGTACTTCTGCTAAAGTACCTTCAAAGAGTATCAGGCAGTCATCAACGTATCTAAACCAAGAACAAATTTTATTGAAAAGGGGGAAGTTCTTTAAGTTTTGTTTTAAGTTATGTAAAAAAATTTCGGCTAGCAAAGGGGAGAGATTGCTACCCATTGCTAATCTGGAAATTTGAGAGTAAAAACAGTTATTGAATTGGAAAAAAAATCTTTTCGATACAAAATCTAGCAGGGAGCATAAATTCAAACAGTGGAAAGCAGAGATACCAGAATCAAAAAGTAAATTGCGCACCAACATAATGCAGTCTTCAGGAGGAACACTGGGAAAAAGATTAACTACGTCGAAGGAAACAAGAATATAATTCGGTGGAATATTGTAATTCTTGATTTTCATTGTGAGATCAAAAGAATTTTTTAAAAAAAGAGGGTTATTGAAATCTGAAAGAGTTATTATCATAAAATATATCAATAAATGGTGAACCAATTCAGCTGGTAGAGGAAGCTAAAACTCTTGGGGTCATCCTTGATCATACTCTTAGATTTGAAAATAATGTTGATAATCTTTTGCGACGTGCATATTCTTCGCTGAAAACTATTCATGGTGTTAGGCATGTTCTTCCTTTTAAATTGAAAGTTATTATGTGTGAAACTCTCGTTTTATCACATTTCAATTATGCCAATTGTGTCTATGGACCACATTTAACAAAACTTCACAGAAATAAGATACAGAAGCTCCAGAATTCATGCTTGAGATTGATGTATGGGATAAGAAGAGGCCAGAGAATCTCTCATAAGATGAAAGATGCTGGTTGGATGACTATGGAAAACAGGAGACTTCATCAGTCCGCTAACCTTTTTCATAGAATTATCATCAGTAAAAAAACCTTCCTATCTCCATAAAAAAATTGTTTTCCACACGGACGTTCACAATAAGAATATTAGGTTTAGAGGAATATTGTCTCCTCCCTCTTTCAAAACAGAACTTTTCCGAAGATGCTTCAGTTATCAAATATGCCATATTTACAATAATATTCCAGATCAATTTAAATCAGCAGTGTTTCATAAATTCAAAACGAATATATTTTCACATCTGTTTAATTCAAATCAATAACAACATTCAGACTTCCTATTATATGTTATCATCCATATGTACTATTTTTTCACTTTTTCTAATTTCTTCCTTTGTTGCTCCTATATGTTGAATTGTAGAGGTATTTGAGGGTTAAGTGGTAGAGCAATTCAGTGCTTCTGAAAATTATTATCCACCCATACTTTATATATTATTTTCTATTCAGAAGTAATAAAGACGTTTATTATTATTATTATTATTATTATAAAATTCAACCAAGAAGCTAGCTTAGCTGAGGGGGAGTTACATTAGGAAACAACTGGTCTGTTAGGAATATTGTCTTTGTGAATTTTGGGAAGTCCATATAGTAATGGGGTTGCAGGGTTCATTGGCGTGAGATTCAATTTGGAAGAGTGGAAGAAGGAAATGGTTTATATACAAACATTCAGGGTTGATTTGAAAAGATAAAAATTTTTGAAGTAGGATCAGTATTTAGTGTAATGAAGCTCTCTGAGTTTAGAAATGTAATTACTTTATGAATATAGTCTGTTTTATCTAAAATTACCAAACAGTTACCTTTGGCAGCTTTGGTAACCACCAGATTGTTATCTGAAACTATTTTAGAGAGCTTTTTGGAAATTTTACGATCTAAAATTCGTTCTCTTGGAGGAACATTGATTGAAACATTTTTATTTAAGGATCTAGCAATTACACTTCTAAGGAGGTCTTTATTTGGAAACCTCTATTTCTTTCTATGATCTTTTCACATTCAATAGCTAAACCTTCAAAGTTAGAAACATTGTTGAACTTATTTTCATTGTATTTCAAACCATTATTCAAAAAAGTGTTCTGTTGAAAGAGTATGAAGATAAATTGAGAATTCTAGGATGAAACTTGTGATCTGAGTAATGAGTAGTACTATTAGATGAAATATTGTGAGGGGATAGTTTGGAATTTGAATTATGTAATTTGTTTTTTAAAACAAAGAATTTCAACCTACCTTGGTTCACAACATAATAATCCATACATCTAGAATACAACACATCTAGCTCTAGAGGGTGTAAGATAAGAGAAAGTCGAAGATGTAGCTATTTGAGTTTGTTGTTGATGTCAGTTAATCCGACATAATGTTTCTTGATCTCAGCTTTAATCCAGATACTTTGCGCCATCCTCACTGCTATTCTAGAAGAGTAGGTACTAGTGTTGGTTCTCAATGATACATAACCAGGGACTAGCTTCTTATGGTAGCACTCATTCTTGAACCAGATGTCTAAACATGTGGTTTTTCTTTGAAGTAATAATTTCTTAAAAAATTGGACTAGTGTTGCTTGACTAGCTAAGGATAATCTCTGGTAGGAGAATGTAAACGTAACTTGCTCACAGCCGCCTGCTCTTTATCCCGGTATTTTGCCTTGCGCCACAAGCTCTGCTTTTTTCAGTGACGCATGGATTAAATTGTAATAATAGCTGTATGGGAAGTCTCGCGGGTGTTTCTCATACATTTTACTATCTGAGTAGTGGCTGAACTCTATACACCAAGTTGAACTTACTTTTTTAGTTACGTATTCAACCAAATAACGAGTACATTAACTCTGACTCGTCTCAACAAGATATATGAACAGAGGCAGAACTATGATCTTAGGAGGCTACTGTCTGGTGTGGAGAGGCTCATTGATCACTTGTTGGATTTTTTTGAAAGGGAGCCGTCATTCTCCTTGGGGGCCGTTCAATGTTTGCCGCTCTCTCCTTCTGTCAGAGATACCATCAGCTCATCAATTGTAGGCTCATGCAGTAAAATAAAGGTACAGTAAATGGTAAACATTTGATGAATAATTGACTTTTCTCTACTGTGGTTATAATGATATTGAGCCTTGGTCCTCAGTTGAGACACTTTCGTTTTGAAATATTTTATGAGGATTCATCAATTTACTCCACATTCTAATAGAAATAAATGAGGTATTTTCTATTGAGCTCTCCCGGTATGAAGTCAACGTGGACTAGAGAAGAGCTGTCAAGTAGGAAGCCGTTAGAAGTCGCATCTCATTGGTTGCCACCAATGATACTAAGTGTTGATTGGTCAGGGTTTTATCACTAGGCGTTTGGTTTGTTCAGACTTTTTGAGGCAGTGCGGTACGGTAAACTGTTGTATCAAGTGATTGGTTGCTTTTTCTAGCTGTTGCATTATATTTCACAAACTATGTGTTTTTCGATATAAGATGTGATTAAAGTCTCTGACGTAAAATGAATTTGCAAAGATATCAGCTAAATTGCAACTCTGTACGCTCAATAGTTATCGAGATGAAGTATTTCAAAAACTTGCGAATTAAACAAAAAAATAATTAATTTCAAGTTTAGCTCTCGTTTCGTGCCTAATATCGACATAACCACTTAATTGTAAAAAAAACAGATTAGAAAAATGGATTTTTGAAGAAAAGAGCCTCAATACTTCTAATTACAATATGTCAGCATACGACGTAAGCAAAATGCTCGAAAGTGGAAAAGTATACTTTTATATTCATATTATTATAAAATCTCATAAATCAAAAATTCAAAACGCTCAATGTTTAGATTTTTTCGAGAGGCCTGGTTGATCACGGTCGTATTTCGGGACTGAAAGAAGTTGCTGGTGTGTTGTGTCCATCTCAGCCTGCTCGTTTGTCGATGGACGATCGTCGGAGTCGTCCTCATCCTCACCGGTCACAAATATACCGACGTTATATCGCAATTCTTGCTAGAGCACATAGTGCACATACCTTACCCCTCCATGACTGAGCAACGCATCTTTGTCTTAATTACAGTTATTATTATTAGTATAGAATTGTAATAACACTCGATTCCTATTATAACATGAAATTGAAAAAAAATGTTCCTTACTTGATAAATCAATTTTGAATTCCAACTTCTTGTCATTCCAAATTACTTGCATTGATTATTTTAAATCCCAATAACTCGATGACAGAAAACCTTTACAGGAATATTTTTCACACCAAAGTGATCTAGAAATTTATTTTCACTATAAAACGTGATCAGGTACGCACAAAAAAGTTATGACTTCAAAAGAATCATAAGACATGTAGGTGGCGCCACCCCCACGAAAGAGACAAAATAACAGGAAATTTGATATTGTCATCGAAAGATAACCCCAGATACCAAATTTCATTCGAATATTACAATTATTTTAAAATCTCTTAACAAAAAAATAAAAATTTAACTTTGTGACTCTGTATCTCAGAAACGAATAACTTTCGGACATTTATTTATATGAACTCTTCTCTTTATTTTGACGTCAGCAACATGCTCCTGAATTTTCTACACGTACTTGAGAAACACCCTGTACACTGGAAGTGCGACCTGCGGATTCATCGGGATTATCGAGAGTTTGGGAATTTCCAGACTGATTCGCGGCGGATGGCACATTAGAAGTTTTTGGTGAACCAGACCACGGATGACTTTGAAAATTTGATAGAGAACATATTCGGACATTCTTTACCTAACTAACTTACTAACTAACTAACTAACTAACTAACTAAATAACTAACTAACTAACTAACTAACTAACTAAGTAACTAACTAACCTATTTTTGCCAATGCGGTGTTGCACTTCTATTACAAATAAATAGCAACTTTGATTTTTCGAATGGAACACCCCATATGTAATATTATTTTTAAAATCTATAACAATATTGAAATTTTTTCCGTCGAAAACCATGAGCTCTAAAAGGGTGATATCTTTGAGTTGAGGAATGCTATCGTAACGAAATTTGGTTTGGAGTTAGGTGAAACTTGGATCGCCCTGTATCTCAAAAACATGAAGGACTGAAAATTTTGTTTGTGGCATTATTCGTCTCACAAAAAAGTAAGGCAGTAACGTAAAAACCGCAACACTCCATCCCCGAAGATAACTGAGATATCACGCAAAAGCATCGAAAACAGGACACATTCATTGGAAAGTGTATTTCATGCACTCGTTACATTTGCGCACTCGCCGCTATGTGGCGTCGTGCCAAATATCACTCGTGCGAAATACGTCACTTTCCACACTAGTTATGTAATATACTAATGCATCCCTTTGGTATATGTGTTCTCAGAAAATGCAAAGAAACGAAAAAGCGCAGCAGTCACATTTTTCAGATGAAATCTCCTTCGAATCCCTTCTTTATGATTTATAACAATTATGTTCGCATGTTTTTTGCTACATCAATGTTTTATGGATTTGAAACTCTTTTGTTCATCAATGTAAATGTATTCATGATTTTTTGTGTAATTAGTGTTAATTGCAATAAATAGTTCAAAATTGTACATAATGATCAACGAAAAATTTGGATTCGAGTTTTGTTTCTTTGCATTTTCTGAGAACATGAACCCTAGTAATCCATATATCTTTCACACCATCAATAAGTTGAGATTTCAACGAACAGAAAGCCTACTGAATTTTTTGAGCAAGCAGATATTTTGACGCGAGAATTTTCGATTGAAAATTAGGGCGTTTTCCGATATAAGGTCAAAATAAGGTGAAAAAATTATTATTTCGAATCAAAAAATTACAAAACTTGTGTTTGTGAAAGAAAAATAGGAGACCAAAAATTTGGCTCTTTCAATTTCTCACATAAATTTTGATCGTATAGAAAGTATGAAGACAAAAGTTATTGATCTTTTCATCACCTCCAACTTTACCATTCAACTTTTTTCCATAGGACTGGTAGTTTTGCCGGTAATCGAGATAATCCGTTTTTTACTCTTAAGAACTCACCCCTTCCACTACGCAACCTCAGATCGCCCGTATTTTTCCTATCATCGTTGTTATATATTCTCTTTACTTTCCAATGTGTTTTATTCTACTATAATTTTTTTCGATTTGAAAAATTATCGACCCTGGCGTTACCATCGAGACAATAGGGCCTGCATGCTCCGTGGTCGGGGCTAAATTCCAAAAAAAGCCCTCCGTTACAATCCTAGAAGCATTTCATGTAACAATTGGATAAATGCTGTTAACCCCCTATTTTGACCCCGCTGAATCCGAAAATACCGTTTATCAAGTCGAAATTCCAACCGGAAGTGAGATATTCAAGATGGCGTCCAGAATACCCCTAAAATCAAATTATTTTCTACTTTCGGTCAGCTATACGATTGAGATGTCGATGTCTATGTTTTCGGGGGTGTGGAATACGATGAGACACTCAAAAAATTATTTGGAGCTCTGAAAGTTCATCGAATGATCAAATTTTGACGAAATGGGCCAAAATTCCAAAGAACTTGTGAAAACGTGTTGTATAATGTACATGCTCGCATACGTTTTCGAGGGTGCTCGATACGTTTATGAGCCAAAAAAGCATTTGAACATTATCCAAGCCTTCATTTCTTATATTTTGAAAAAAAAAAGTTCACTATTAGTAGTCTTCCTCATCTTTTCTGCTCCATTCGGCTCCCTGCAGCCACACTGCTTCGTGCCGCAGTGGCCGCAGAGCCCCATGCAGCCACAAGCTCCAAATTCGGGACATGACTTGGGAATAGGTAGCAAAGTCATCAAGATTGGGACTCACCGTCCATCACCAATTTTCCAGCCGCAATTAATCGGGTCTGGTGAATCAAGATACTGATCATGGGCGTCAAACCACACACTAGTACCTGAAAAGAAAACAGACTAAAATTAAAATCCCTCGATTTTTTCTATTTTCTTTTTCTTCTTATTAATTTTATCTGGAAGTGGCACCGAAGAATGTGTTGATGGATGGCATCAGTGGTAGATGGCAAAAATCATTCGCACTGTCCCAAAAATTGCAACACGGGCTGCGTCTGCCGTTGTAATGTCCAGTCCAACTTGAAATAAAAATGATATTAGTATAAAAACGGCTAACAGTTCTAATTCACCATGTGTCTTAGAAATGAGACGCAACAAACCTTGTATAAAGCTGGAACCACAAACTGTTCAACCAAACGGAGATCCTCGGGGGCTATATCAGGAGTCTTTCCAAGCTGACTGAGAAGTTTACAGTAGTTTTCTTCAATGTACTGCTTCCACCGTCCTGTTTTTGTGGCAGACCCTCATCAAGATTTAGTATCACATTCGGTGATTGCGTGGAAATCCATCAGGTTTTTATCTGTTGTGATGTGAGCTTTCTACATAGTTCATGAATTGGAATATACTTTCTATCTCGGGAAGTACCACACATCACCCAGCATTCCTTGCATTTCATTCTTTCAAAGTGATAGATGAATAATGAAATCACACTAGTGTCTTTAACAGAAACAACAACAGCCTCTCTTTCGGTTTTTACGCATGGAGTGTATTCCAATTCACGAACTATGTAAGAAACTTGCACCACAACAGATAAAAAACCTGATGGCTTTCCACGCAATCACTGGATGTGATACTACATTTAAGTTAGCGTCAGTCACAAAAACAGAACGGTGGAAGCAAGTACATAGAAGAAAACTACTGTAAACTCCTCAGTCAGCTTGTAAAAACTCCCGATCTAGCCCCCGATGATCTCCGTTTGGTTGAACAGTTTGTGGTGCAAGCTTTATACAAGGTTTGTTGCGTCCCTTTTCTGAGACACATGGTGAATAAGAACTATTAGCCGATTCGATACTACTACCATTTTTATTTTGAGTTGGACCGGACATTACAACGGCAGACGCAGCCCATGTTGCAATTTTTTTGACAGTGCGAATGCTTTTCGCCATCTACCACTGATGCCCTCCGTCAACACATTCTCCGGTGCTACTTCCAGGTAAAAGAAAATTGAACAAATCGAAGGATGTTAATGTTATGTTCAGATACTAGTGTGGATTAAGGCCCATGATCAGTATCCTGATTTATGAGACCAAAATAATTACGGCTGGAAAATTGTTGATGGACGATATGTCCCAATCCTGATGACTCTGCCACCTATTCCCAATTCATTTTCCGAATTTGGAACTCGTGGCTGCAAGGGGCTCTCTCAAAATATAAGAAATGAAGGCTTGGACAATGTTCAAATGCTTTTTTGGCTCATAAACTTATTGAGCACCCTCGAAAGCGTATGCAAGCATATACATTATGCAACACGTTTTCACAAGTTCTTTGGAATTTTGGTCTATTTCGTCAAAATTTGATCATTCGATGAACTTTCAATGCTCCAAATCATTTTTTGGGTGTCTCATCGTATTTTACACCCCCGAAAACATAGACATCGACACCTCAATCGTATAGCTGACCGAAAGTAGAAAATAATTAGATTTTAGGAGTATTTCGGACGCCATCTTGAATATCTCACTTCCGGTTGGAATTTCGACTTGATAAACGGTATTTTCGGATTCAGCGGGGTCGAAATAGGGGGTTAACGTCATTCATCCAATTGTTACATGAAATGCTTCTAGGATTTGGCTTTTCGCAAAACAAGCCCCGACTATAGTGAGGCCTAACCAGCGGCTTGAAACGACAAGAGCTATAAGGCGACCGCGTATTTCAATTTTAGTTTAAGATCATCATCGTACCGATTTTGCTGTTTTTTTTGAAGGGCTTCCGGTTGAAAAAGGATGCCAGTCATCAACTGAGCCCTTCTTCGCATCCCATTCGATTTTATTATGGAAAAACGAAGGTTCAAAACATGTGTCAGACATTGTGATAATATATATAAATTGTCCAATATGATGAAAGAAGAAGGGAAAACTGTTCTAAATGCCATCCAGAAGACAGGTGAAAAAGAAGGTGAAATTTGTAACTTTATAGTCAGATATCATAATAAATAATGGTTTGTTCACATTTTCATTATAAAATTCGTGTTTTCCAGACAAACATACGTAAGTACCGAAAACATTTTTTTGAAAAAAAAAAACCATCGCATGATAAATGCAGTTTTACCTCTTCAAGTAGAGTGTTTGTGTACATGTTAATATGATAGTTGCAATTTGGTCATTGGAATGAATTCTGCATTCATTGCCACGAGGCAAATGGCCGATTTCAAAATGAAATTTGAGGATGTATTGAGTTAAAAATACCCGTTCATTATAAACATTCAAGAAAATTTCCTCGAATTCAGAGATGATTTTGTTGAATATAATATACGAATACAAAACTAACTGCACAATCGAAGCTTTTCTCTTTTTCCTCTACTCATACTTTTTATGAGAGAGTAATTGTCTTCTATTAATAATTCATAATTTTAAATTAAGCTCTGTTCACTACTGTACTTAGATCGAGTAAAATCGTCGCGGTGAATTGCATATACGGGAAACTAAAAGCATGAACTTTTGGACCACCCACATAATTCCCCTGACAAAAAGAAACGCAACACTTGAAAGGCATTGTTATTTCGCCTATCACAACACAGAATATTTCACAAAACAGTAATTTTTCCGCCAATCATTTTGGTGAATTAACAACAAAAGAAGCCGGGACCGCTTCAAAAACATACGGGAACCACCGAACATGGATTAACACGAACTGACGCGTTAGTCGACAAGCGCTAAAACACTGGCCTCTCTTAGGTGACGTCACGAGCTGTTTACGTCAGAGTCTGCTGGCCTTCTAATCTCGATGGTAACGACCCTGGTCCAATAGTATTGTCATTATACATTAGAAGAATAGGAACAATTCGGTGAACATTTTAGTTTATTCAAATTGTAGTAAACCAAATAACAAAAATAATCTGAATTTAAAATTATTATTATTATTTAATAAGAAAACAAAAACACATTTAATAATGTATATAAAATAATAAATATTCTTATTGAATTTTAACACTCCTATAACTGCAGAGCCAGATGTTTCTCATTTGGTAGATCATTACAACCACTGTTCGATTGACTGCAGTTTATCATATCCTCTAGATGCATCTTTAGCATTATTTATTATCAGAACTGATTGATGCTGAAGTCAATACCACTTACCTCAAAGCTTAAATAGTTTTTGTAAGTCATAGCAAGAATGACAGCAAAACGGATATAGCTTTCACTAAACAACTATGACCACTGAGAAATTAAACTGGGAATATCCGCAAAAATGAACCTGGAAAGAAAAACGAATAACAACTTTAGGTTGTGTATATGTTTCTCAGACCTCAGCACTAGTCACAGCTTACAGAACTACCATATGCCACAGGAAAACACAGAACACACAAATGCTGTCAACACTGAACTCGAGAATATAATTCACTTAGATGCTTCCATCTTTCTTTTGGAAAATTAGTCAAACAAAGATAGAGTAATATCATTCACATTTTGCTTCAGATATTTTATGACTATCCTTAGGATATCTCTAGGATATCCATTTGGAATTCATGGATGACCATCTCATGGATCTATATTTCCCAGGGGAAAAAGTGGAGATACGAGTCTTTTTCAAAAATCATATTTCTATACGAAAATGTTAGAGAACAAAAAAAAAAAAGATTCTGAATCCTGATTCTGACATGAATATGAATTTATGTGTGCTCATATATTCTTGTACGATAACGTGAGAGAAGACAAAATTTTTTGTAAACTGTGGTATTTTTATTTATATAAATTCATGTTTGCTCCGGATACCTTGTGACTATCCATGAAACATCTTTCGAGGGTATCAATTACAGATTCTCTGCGGATATCTGATGGATGTCCGTTTCAAATCCAGAAATATGCTGGCCAGAATTGGACATGAAATGTCCATAGGATATCCTGTGTAATGTAGGACTGATATCGAATTAGATGTGAACGACTTCAATTATCATCTACTGACGAATTATATTTTCTTTGCTTGATATTTCTTAATAAATGCAATGAATTATTCTTTTGGGTGTATGATAAATTGACATTCATCATACAGGGCGTGGAAAGAAATTCTGAATTGAGACTCTATCACGGATCTGCGATTAGAGGTCTATAAAAATCATAAGTTTCCATCGTTCAAGTTTGAACCCCCTGATTGGGTATGAAAGTGCTGAAAAGGAATATTCTCAGATAAATTATGAACATACAAAAAATCGATATATATTTATATAAGGCAATACATTGAGAATTCGCATTCTCTATGTGATGAGAATATCTACTCTTTTTCAGTTTATTCAATAGAAAACAACTACTTTCCTGGCTATATGCCACGACGAACATTGAATTATATCTATTGAATACACACAATAAGAGTTTGAAAATAAAATATAAAATCTTCTGAAATTGAGAATTTGCATTCTCCTTCAGACAAAAATATGTATATACACATCATTCTGAATATTCAACAGAAAACAACTACTTTCCTGGCTATTTGCCACGTCGAACATTGAATTATATCTGATGATCATTCGAAAGGAGAACATGAAAAATAAATAATAAAATCCTCCGAAATTGAGAAATGACATTCTTCTTCAAATCGGATGAATAATATGATGTAAAATGATATAGAAATATAACTTACCAATATATTCAGCATTGAAATGAAAATTGGAATGTATAGGAGAAGTATGCTGGCATAAACTCTGATCTTGATGAGCTTGAAAACTTCACAGATTATATGACTTTATTGCAATGAAACCATTTCGGATTTCTGAATCCTCATCTGTAGAATAAGTGGACATCATGGTTACTGGGAATCGAACCCACGACCTTGCGGTCGTGAGACGGACGCTCTTCCACTGCGCCAATCCCGGCTTCAAATTGAATTTGAAGCTAGCTCCAGTCACCTGCATTAGTGTTGATTTTATTCCATTCTCATATGTCCTCTCTGTCCCATTAATAGAACCATAATTTCATCATTCATTTCTATTTTTTATGTTTGTTTCAGAACTTGGTTTTTGCAATACTCTTGGCGAACAATAAGTTGATAACTCTGGTGAGAATGAAGAAATACTGTCTTCACCCGGCAGACTTACACTTAATCTTCAATCTAGTACAAGCATCTGAGAGTCTCAAGAATTCTGAAAGTTGGACTCCCCTATGCTTGCCCAAATTTGACTCTAGCGGATTCCTTTATGGACACGTTTCTTACTTGGCTGAAGACTGCCAGGCGTGTTTGCTACTTTTAACTGTTGAAAGGGACGTTTTCTTCACTCTGAGTGACGCCAAACAGCATGTTGTCGAAAAGTTGCGGAGAGCGAATTGTTTGGAAGCAATAAATGAATCCTTGAATTCTAGTGAAGTGAAGTGTGCAAGTGCTGGTTTTCCTGAAATTCGCCATTACCTCTACAAGTGTAAGTCTACGGCTCAATTCCATCAGCCCTCTCTGAGCCCACTTTATGCTGAGTCCAAGGTACACTTGATAAATATTTACAAAAGGGTACATTACAGGCTGCATGGTCCTGCTAGGCCACTGAAACTGGTTTTTGAGAGAAATTCTGAGGAAGCATTATTAGCTTGGGATACAAAAGGCTTTGAGTTGTATGTTGTTTTTGAACCATTGATAGATACTTCATTCGCTATCAATTCAGTTGGTAGGCTCCTAAATTGGATCAAGAAAAGAGAAGATAAACTGTTTCATTTGAATGCACCAACATTTTGAATTATTATAATGTTTTCATTCATATGATTCATAAAGAATTGGATCGTAGGGCAAGTATTTGGAATACCAGTTTTTGATTCCATTGATTGTTGTCTATGGTAGAATATGTGTGATTTGAATCATTTTATATTTTCTGTAGGTTAATCAAGGACTTCGAATGTCATTTCTCTAGATATTTGGGATCTCCTCTCCTCATCTTTAAAATTATTCAATTATACCTGTAGTAAGCACATCCAGATGATATTGAAAAATCGAGAGAAACTAATGTAGTTATTATTCCAATTTTTTTGGGATTTTCTCTCCTCGTTTCTATAAAATAAAAATATGAATATTATTTCAATATACGTGTAGTAAGGACAAATCAGATGATTTGCCCCAAAATGTCACTGTGTTTAAAGAATTGGAATAATGAATGTACCACCTCCTCAATTAACCTACAGACAGTATTCAATGTAGTTATCTAACCAACTAGTGTATTAATGAAGACGATTAATGTTCGAGATCAGCAATCGCCATAGTAATATACGAATTGGTTACAAAATTTTTTCGTCGACCATATGTCTCCTGCAATGGAAAAAAACTCGTTCGCGAATTCATCTTTTCTTCTAACAATCACCCAGTATCTATGAAAATCCACTTGTCATCGACATGACATTTGGACATTTGTCGAAATTACCAATTTGGAAAATAAATTCCTTTTGCGCTGAAAAACTGGGATCAAACTCGGTGAAGAAACGTTAAAAAGCTTACCCGTTAACGTGAAATCTTCGATGAACGTTATAATCCCTACAGTGAAACTATGCGATGTATTTTTGGTCGATTATACCATAATCGTTCGTTAATAAAGAAATTGACCGTTGATAGGGGTAATTAACGAAAAATTTCGTGTATTATTAATCAAAATTATCTTCTAAAATGTATCAAATAATTCAGCTCGATTAATCATTCCAGAATTACGTAATCTGACTGGTCGTTGGAGGGCAAACATTGAATTTTGTCATATAAGGAGGAACCCGAATAGATTTCATGGGTTTTTGTTTGGTGAATCTGTTATTGTATTCTGGATGTGGGCACTGTGGGCAGAGCAATGCTCATCAAATGTCACCCAACAGATAGTTTTTGTACCCTCCACGAAACCGTGTCAAAATCTGTTATTCTAGAATGGCCAATTGAAGAAATAATATATTATTGTATATATATATATATATACAGGGTGTTATTTAAGTACGTGGCCAAACTTGAAGGGGTGATTCTTTTAGTGATTCTAAGACGAAAAGTTCATATAAACATAGGTCCGGTAATGCTTCGTTTTCAAGATACAGGGTGTCAGAATTTTTAAAAGAAATCGTTTTTTTTCGTAAATATCTTAATAATCCTTCAACCGATTTTATTGAAATTTGGCAGTGTTATTCAAGGTCGTAAAGGGCTAATTTAACCCTAACTCTATCAAAATTATCATGTCCAGTGGCGTCCCGGAAGGCACTGTAACCAATATTTTTGACAGAAAAAATGTGCGCCACTGTTTTTTTTTTGCAATTTTTGTATTTGTTTCACATTGAGCAACTAAAATTACAACTTTTTTATATCCAGAATTTTTTTCGTATCTTGTTTTGTTTTTGAGAAAAAACATAAAAATCACTTCATTGCACATCCCTGTGACGAGCCGAAGCCAAGAGCCGAAGGCAAGTGCTGCAATTCATACATACATATTTTTTGTTTTTTCATTGCATTAATTTTGATAGAAAATTCCAAGACTAGAATAGAGTATTAATATGGAAAAATATTAGTAAGACCCCAGTTTTTGATGGTTTAGTAGTTGAAATGTTTTATTGTGTTGTCACAGGGATGTGCAATGAAGTGATTTTTATGTTTTTTCTCAAAAACAAAGCAAGATACGAAAAAAATTCTAAATTTAAAAAAGTTGTAATTTTAGTTGCTCAATGTGACAAATACAAAAATTGCAAAAAAATCAGTAGCGCACATTTTTTCTGTCAAAAATATTGGTTACAGTGCCTTCCGGTACGCCACTGGACATGATAATTTTGATATAGTTAGGGTTAAATTAGCCCTTTACGACCTTGAATAACACTACCAAATTTCAATAAAATCGGTTGAAGGGTTATTAAGATATTTACGAAAAAAAAAACGATTTCTTTTAAAAATTTTGACACCCTGTATCTTGAAAACGAAGCATTACCGGACCTATGTTTATATGAACTTTTCGTCTTGGAATCACTCAAAGAATCACCCCTTCAAGTTTGGCCACGTACATAAATAACACCCTGTATATATAATGGTTATCGTTAATTCGTAGGATCAGAATGGCTGGCTAAGTGACTTGGTACAGTTAATTTTTTCTTGCTGGAAAGGTTTTATTTTTTATGCGGAGCACGAAAACGCGAATTTGCCTGTGCGGTTTAAGGACGTATATGGGGGCGAGCTTGGAAATTTACTTTTGGGAAATATCAAATGCAACATGATTTAAAACATAGTACTTACTTACCCTTAATTTTTCTTCATATTACAACGGTAGTCGACGTCAACAGTACGGTCATCACAGCAAACATTTTCAATATCACCAGGTGGCGATATCAGAAGCTTGATATCTATGTCATTTCGAAATTCCCCAAATCTTTTCAGGACCAGGTCATAGCCAAAAGACTTTGACCTGGTTATTTCGAAAATCATTAATATGAGTTATGCAAACGAATACAAAAACTCAAGATATGATTAGGCTTGGATATGCTTGAATCTCTACCTATGGAACTTAACACGCAAATTGGGCTTGTATACCAAATATCAAAGTCCTCCTTCAACTTTAAAACCTAAAATATTAAAAACCATGAATAGCAGACGATTTTCAAACTCAGGTATCGACTTCTTGCCATTCTTGTGGATAAGTTCAGGACATACCTATCTGTTACAAATAATCTATAATCTAGAAAAAAAAAATCAAATTAATTTTTTCGAAAACTTTGAATGCGTACTGGTGATCAAAATTCGAATAACCTTAGAGAAATCATAGTTTTCAACCAAACAGGAATGAACCCTGAAAACGGAAATTTGAATTGAGAATTTTGATAGTTTACTAGAGGAAGACTATATATGGAGATATACCAATTCAATTAAACTTGAATGGCGAAAAAATACACTCGATTCCAGGACTTCAATCTATCTATCGACGCGGTCTGTTGACACTTAAGTCTCCTGAAAATGGTCTACCAATTGTCAAACTCACTATCTGAAATTACCACATACTATAAATACACGAATTTTCATAAATGTATTAATGACATTGACTACCTTTGAAATTTTGCAACTTTCGCCGCTCGCTTCATATATGTCCCTCAGAACGCCCAGGCAGACTTGCGTTTTCGTGTTCCACTTCCACATTCAAGTTTATCAAATTATATAAATAGTAGCCGTCTAATATCCTCTTCTCGGTTAACTTTCGATCCAAACGAGATAAAGAGTTGAAAAAAAAAATGTGAAGGTTGTTTTGAGGTATTCTATTATTTAAAATGTTACAGTTGTTTGTGCCCTCAGTTGAATGTTCCTTCAGTACCAGTTCCAAAATTCAACAATCATACCAACTACTTTACATCATTCGATACTGTCGATTTGTTGACATTAAAAGTGCTCTACACGCAATTGTGAATAAAATATGGACTGATGGATTTGAAATCTAAAAATTCCAATACTTATCTAAGTATTTTTTACGTGCTTATGTGACAGTATTCGTCTTCTTGGGGGATTTCCTCAGGGAACTACGATTACTCATTTGATAGTTTTTTATGTTAAAAAGTAATTGTTTCTTTAGATTATAAATTATGTTTGAAATGTTCCTTCCACAAAGCAAGGCTGAACACACAAAAATTATATCAAGAGTTTTCTACTTTTCATATCAATTTCAAATTTCCAATATTTTGGTACATAATTATCATTAATCGATATCGATATCAAGTTCTCGATATCACAGACCCCTATAATATCGTCAAGTATAGATTTTCATGAACAAAAATTCGAATCCATCGTCGTTGTATAAAAAAGTATGTATAATTTGGCACATGAAATAAATAAAATTATTTCTATAGGCATTTGACCTTGAGGCAACTAGTTATCTCACTTAGAAGCTAAAATAATGAATACTCCAAATCGGCTTAGACCCTAGTATATGATTTTATGCTTTGCTATATTTAGAGTAGAGTCACTGAATGGTATTAGTAGATAATATAATATAAGACATAGAATAAAAAAGACATATATTCTGCACTTTCCCCTTCAGAGGTTATATTTTCGGTAAAATCAATTATAGTCGTAGATGGAAAATAAAAATTGGGTATAAATATCCACTTCAATTTATAGCGATACACTTTTCGCAGAACAAACAGTTTTTAAAATGAAAATAATGCATGTAACATTTCAATAGGACAAAATAGACACATATGATTATCTTTATAAGGTTGAAAGGTATGTGCACAATTTTCCTAGATAGGGTCCTGATAGACGGAAGAGGAAACTTCATTCATAGCCTCTGTGGTAGATACCATAAGTATGTTTGATGGCAAACGCTTTATTTATTGTTTTGATTTTTCACCTTTTTCTGCATTCACTTTTCACTGAAAAAGTGTGAATTTGGTCGTTATTGAAAACGCGATTCAATGATATATCACGTTGCAATTTACTTGATTTCCTCCGGTTTCGTTCTCAAATTTTCAATTTCATTACGTAGTTTTGCAATCAATTCCACTTAATTCATAATGATTTTGATTTGCATTTTGTGTGATGGTAATATTGTTTTTTTTAATTGTCTGTTTTAGACCCAAAATATATTTTTATCCTAATCTGCTGTTATAAGACGTGAATCTACCCCAAATTTTGCTAGTCTTCAATTTAATTTTCCATCCAGGCCGTTTCATGCATTACTTCCATAAAGAAATGGTTGATATATCCTGTAGAAAATTAAATAAATGAGATCAATCCTCTTCAAAATTCCCACAATTCATCACACAACAAGGCATTTTCATTTATGGTTCTTTTTCAATAGTATTGAAATTATATTCCAAATGTGACATTCATAAAATGTATTGTTAAATTCAAACAATTTTGAATGAAAAAGGCGGGACGACTTTCTATCTAAACATTCAAACACACTAATAGTTGTCATTCCTGTGTCCGAACTCTTATCTAACTTATACCATCCAGTGACTCTAATTTAGAGCAATCGGTTTCAGTAAACATACGTGACTTATTGACGGTTTCAACAAAAAAGCAATCTCATTGTTCATACTTTTTGATCTCAAATTTTTCCACATTTGATCTGTGAATATTTTGAATGGTAGTGAGGATATGAGCAGTACTACAAGTTGTAAGTGAAGGTCACAGCCTTCACAGACAGGTTGGAAATTCAGTAGAAATGGAGCTGTTCACCTGTGAACAACGTGTTGCGGCGTATTACAGGAAACAACGATTTTTTGTTAGTGTTCAACGTTTGTAGATCGTGATTCATGCCAGTTATTATCTATAACTTTCAAGGC